CACCGTCCTGCACCTGCCCAGGCACAACCTCCCCACCACAATGCAGGTGAATGTGGCGCACGGGACCCACCGGGGGTGGGGTGGGGGTGGGGGGCTTTTAGGGGCGGTGATGCCCCACCCTCAGGCTCTCATTGGGTAGTGTTTGGAACAGCGGCACCCATGATTGGACAATTCTCTGTCTTCTGCCCACTCTGGAGTTTGATTGGTTAGTGCTCAGGGAACAGCTCCTGTCTCCTCTGACCGGGTCGTTCTTTGACCACGCCCTTGCTCTTCCAATTGGACAGTTCTTAAGCCACGCCCTAGCACCTCTGGTTGGATGGTTCTCAGGGCTGTGTCTGGCCCATCCCAGCAGGAAGACTCCCTCCAGGCAATATTTCTCAAACTACACAGCACCGGGCTCCTTTTTTTTTTTTTGGTCTTTCTGAGACAGGGTCTCGCTATGCAGTTCGGGCTGGCCTTGAGCTCACTTTGTAGCCCAGGATGGTCTCAAACTCTCAACCATCCTCCTGCCTCAGCCTCCCAAGTGCTGGGATTACAGGCGTGCGCCACCATGGCCAGCCTGGGCTCCGTAACAAGGCATTCCAGGCAACTTTCTCCCAACTTACAACCTATGAACAGAGGCCTTCTAGAGGTAATGATCCACCAAACCTCACTAACATTACATACTAGCTGTGCGCTTCTTCTCTCCCTCAAAGCAACCTTTGAGCCCAGTATTTTGTCCTGATCTTTGGGACAAAAAAAATAGACTACCCCCCAGTCCAGAAACTTCTTTCAAAGCGGTCACTGTGATGGGCTTTGGTGTAAGGTATCAGTGTTCCATGGAAAATGGGCGTGGAGGCACACACCTGTCATCCCAGGGCTTAGGAGGCTGAGACAGGAGGATCACAAGTTCAAGCCCAGCCTGGCCAACTTCACATCTTAGAGAAACCTTATTTTAAAAATAAAAATAATTTTTTAATAAAAACAATTTTATTTTTTTATTTTTATTTTTTTAATAAAAACAATTTTAAAATAGGGCTGAGAATATAGCTCAGTGAGTAGGACCTGGATCAATCCCAAGACCACCAAGAAAAAGAACAGTGTTCCACTAGGCATTGTTCTTATATCTGTTCCCCAGGGCTGCCTGCAAATGTCATCTGTCATCCGTGTGTCCTGGGGATGAACGTTATCTGCAGCGTGGACGGACGTCACTGGCAAAGTTTCATAAGTAACTCAGTGAACGAGATAATGGATTAAAATAGCAACATTACTGAAATATTTGAAAAGAAGCCATGGACTTCTGCTTACATTTTCCTGGCTCTGTTGAGGCGTAAATCCAAATGCCCTTCCAAGACCTGCTTGTCTTAATTCTACCACATTGTCCAAGCCAGTGGCTTTTAAAACACACTCCCATAAATTCAGATTCAACTCAGTGAAACCTGACATATTTCAACTGCTGATCAAAGGTGGGGGGAAAGTTGTAATAAATAGGCTGACTCAACTTTGGATACTGGACCCCCGTAGGTTCCCTCATCCCACTTTCCTGCCTTCCTCAATTCAGGTAATCAGATAGGGACCTTGAGGGCCACCTGTCCCATGATGCTGGGGTGGGGGTGGGGGTGGGAGTGCCAAACCTCAGAAGCCGCAGGACTAGCCGTGTGGCCACTGTCCAGGCCTATTCTGTGTCTGTTTCCCTTAAGCCACCTGGAGCAGCTAGCTTATAACTGCAAGTATCTTTCTGGAAGTCCCATCCCCTAAAGAAATAATTAAACTCTTGGAGCATGTGAATTTACCATTCTTGAAATCCAGACTGTTTTGGGCTGGGGGCTGATACTAACCTTTTGGAGAAAGGATACACATGGGAAATGTTTTGGGGGTGGCCAAAGGAGTTCAGCCTTTGCATCCTGAGAAGGCAACGAAGTTAGGACACCAAGTCCAGATGCTACCATGTAAAGATGTTTTTAGAAGCACAGAAGCCATGCAAGTGGTCGCTAGCAGCAGATTCAATACATAAAAATGGCACAGTCCCAGAAGAACTACAGAGCCACAAAAGTGAGTAAACTACCATCAGTGCAAGATTAATATAACTAGGCTGGGCTTGGAGGTACACACTTGTGATCCTAGCACTCAGCAGGCTGAGGCAGGAGGATTGACACAACTTCAAGGCCAGCATGGGCTATCCAGTGAGACCCTGTCTCCAAAAAACAAAAACACATAAATGACTTTAACACAATGTTCATTTTAGAATATTTCAGATGGGAAATGGGTACATTTCTGTGTATGTTATGCTTTACAGTAAAACTGTGCTATAAATTAACAATTTATCACAATAAAGGAAAAATAATGTCATCATGTGAATATGCACTGAAAAAGATTATTGGACTCTTCCACATGCATCTACACAAAAGCTCTTAGCAAGGGGATGTAGCTCAGGGTTACAGTGCTTGCCTAGCATGTGTGACACCTTGGGTTTAAGCACTGAAAAAAAAGTTTAGAAAGTTCTTAGCTGTATGCATCCGTAGGGCTCTTGCTGTATCCCAGGAAGGAACCGCGGCAAGAATGAGGTAAAAATAGACAAGAGAGAAAAAGCTGGGATCAGGTAGAGGTCCTCTCTCATGAGCAGAGAGGAGGAACTGCCCAAGAACAGCGGAACGTTTATTTTAATACCCTCGAGAGGTTGATTAATTTCAGCCTCTCTGCCCAGCAATTAGTTAACAAGCTACAAGGGCTTGTTTACGTGCTTCGCGGAGCTCCGGTGTTCTCCGGCTGGCTTCGTTCTGCACGTGTAATTACTTTCCAGCTTCAGCCGCTCCCAACACTTAGCAACTCAGCAGTGGGTGGAAATCTACATAGCCAGACTAAAGGCATATTAACAAAGCAAAGCACATCAAAGAATGTATGAATAATATAAAGTATAGCCAAATAAATCCCAAGGCAGAAAGACTGCCATGAGTTTGAGGCCAGCCTGGGCTACACAGTGAGATCCTGTTTTTCGGGTTTTTAAAAGAAAGAATGATGAGAAGAAAAACTTGCCTTTATTAATATTTAAAAGTACTGTGTATGTAAAACTCAAAAAAGAAAATGAAGCCAGAGGTGGTGGTGTGTGCCTATATATAACCCCAGCACTCGGGAGGCTGAGGCAGGAGGATCACAAGTTTGAGCCTAGCTTGGCTATTTTAGTGACTTAGTGAGACTCTGTCTCCAAAAAAAAAAAAAGTTCTGAGGATGAAGGTCAGTGTGAATGCCCTGGGTTCAATCCCAGTATGATAAAAACAAAGTACAGCACCTGTAACCTCAGCTACTCAGGAGGCTGAGCCATGAGGATCACAAGTTCCAGCCCAAACTGGGCATCTCAGTGAGTCCCTGTCTCTCAATATAAAAAAAGACTAGGGGGCCAGGGATATAGCTCAGTGGCACAGTGCCTGCCTGAATTTGATTCCCGGCACCAGAAGGAAAAAAAAGACTGGGGATGTAGCTCAGCATGAAGCCCCGGGTTCAATCCCCAGTACTGGGGAAAAATAGACACAAAATCCCATGTATCGTTTTCTTGTTTGGCTATAACACTGCAGTTTTTTTCTGGTGGAATCAGGCCCACAGAGCCACTAGAACCTTGATGGTAAACCCATGGCATGCGAAGTTCTGTCTGTGATGACGTCACGAGTTGTATGAGTTTTTTAAAACTAAAACCTCAGTCTTTGGGTTTACCTGCTATTTTGGCACTCTGTGGTAGGTAAGTGGGTTTTACATTGCAGTTTGGGCACTCATCCTCAAAGTTTGCCTTCACTGCACTAGAAGTATTAAGAGAACAAGAGGCTCACTACACAAATCAGGCCTCATCCAAGCATGCTGTATTAAGATCTAGAAAAGTAGATCAGTACAGGGCAGGTTGCAAGCCATGGATCCTGGAGTTGGTGTCCTAGGGATTTCAGGAAAAGACAAATTCTGGGTCCCAGACCACACGGGTGCACCCTTGACACCGGGCTCATGGGGATGTCTGTGAGGCCCACACTCTGACGGAGTGGAGATCAAGCAGCTGGTCTTTGTTTTGATGCTAGCAAAGTATCCGGAAAATAAGCTAAAGGCTGGTGTCTCCAAGGCCTCTATACATTGTCCACCTCCATTTACTGAGTCCCTAAAATTCAGTAATGAACTACTGTATTCTTCCTTCAAAGTCTCATGGAATTTAGGCTACTGGTAAATCCTAACACGAAACCATAAAGGGAAAGAGTTCTTGCAAATTCTGCTGCTGTAACATCCATGTTGCTGGGCGTGGTGGTGTACATCTATAATCCCAGCAGTAGGGAGGCTGAAGCAGGAGGACTACCACAAGTTTGGCATCAGCCTAGGCTACACAGTGAGTTCAAGACCAGCTGAGATCCTGTCTTAAAAATGAGCAAACAGACATCCATGTTGACATAGCAAAATCCAGAAGAATTACCTCCAATAAAGGATTGCATTGTTGCATAATGCTGTCACTTAAATCAAAACCCATTACACACTTACAATCACAGGCAAAAGCAAAGAGCAAAGGGCAAATGTAAAAATAACAATTTATATGACACTATATTCTTTGAAGAACTTTGCATAATCACAAGTTTCTGCCAGCTATTTATTAGGAAAAAATGGAGTAAGCCTCCTCCAGTTCCTCCTAAAAACTCTTAGTAAGTTGGAAAATAGGTAAACAATATCCAAAAATCTAACACAGTAAATCAATAAGAAAAAAGCAATTCCCAAGCTCAGTATAATTCAATGCCATTGTTCAAATACCTTGAGAACAGTTTAAAGGAAATAGAAATAATACATAGTTGCATATTAAAATGTATTTTCTTTTTGTACCAGGAATTGAACTCAGGACATTGTGCTTGCCAAGCAGGCACTGTGCCACTGAACTATATCCCTGGCCTACACTTCTAAAAATCCACTTTAAATTACTCATGAGCACCTTAGTAAGACAACAATTCAAGATAATAGAAATTAAATCTACTTGCATACTAAAAAATACACTTCAAATCATTCACAAATTCAATAAACCATAAAGATGTGTCATTTATTGAACTGTAAGGAAAAGGCATATTTTGAATATGCTTTAACTATTATTATTTGGTTATTTGAGATAGGTGTATGTGGTCCAGGCTGGCCTGGTCAGATTTGAGACAGGGCCATAATTTGTATATCCAGCTGCCAGGCAGCTCTAAACAACCAGTAGTATATGCATGACTGTCTCATCAGGCAGCATGGGACAGACCCATTTGGTGGTACAAGTCACCCAATGGACAGTTACGCATGTACCACTAGTGGTCCAAGCTAGAAGAAATGTGCTAAACTCACTATGTAGCCCAGGCTGACTTTGGACTCAAGAACTCTTGCCTCAGCTTCTCAAGTGTTGCGATTACAGGCATGCACCATCATATTCAGCCATGGGGAATTATTTTTTATGTAAATATTTATTTGTAAATGAAACTATACACTCTTCTGTGTCTATCATGAGGCTGAGGTACTCACTGAGGCAAGGCCATATTTAAAACTTTTATAAGGTGTTGTCCTGGGGTGCATTTTTCTGGAACACTGTACATGAATTCACGTTTAGAAGGATGTCCCCATCACATTGATATTGCTTTTCTGCAGGGTGTATCCTCATGTGTCTCCTTGGTGAAGAGGAACAATTGAAGGCCTTCCCACATGTCTTACACTGATATGGTTTCTCTCCAGTATGCAGTCTCATGTGTACTGGTAAAGATGATGGCCATTTGAAGACTTTCCCACATTCCTTACATTCACAGGGCTTCTCTACAGTGTGGGTTCTCACATGTTGCTGTAGAAGTTCAGGCCAACTGAAGGCCTTCCCACATTCCTTGCATTTGCAGAGTTTCTCTGCAGTGTGTCTTATATGCTTTCGTAAGGATATGTGGCAATAGAAAGCTTTCCCACAAATCTTGCACTGATAGGACTGGTCCTCGGGGTGCATTCTGACATGGTCTTGAAAGGCAGCTGACAAACTGAAGGCTTTCCCACACTGGACACACTCATAGGGTTTCTCTCTGCTGTGTATTCTCATATGTTTCCGTAGGGATATAGGCCAATTGAATGTTTTCCTGCACTGCTCACAACCATAGGGCTTCTCTCCAGTGTGCACAAGCATGTGCCCTTGGAAAGATGAGGGATGACTGAAGGTTTTCCCACACTGGGTACATTCATAGGGCTTCTCTTTACCATGAGTCCTTTCATGTCTTTGAAAGGATTGGGGATAAATGAAGGCTTTCCCACACTCCCTGCATTCATATGGTTTCCCTCCAGTGTGGATCCTCTCATGTCTTCGCAAGGATTGGAGATAAATGAAGGTTTTCCCACATTGTTTACACTCATGTGGTTTCTCACCAGTATGCATGATCACATGCCTTTGAAATGCGGAGGAGTAACTGAAGGCCTCCCCAAACTCCTTGCATCTGTGTGGCTTCTCTCCTGTGTGTGATATCATGTGTCTGCGAAGTGTGGAGGAATAGCTGAAGGCATCCCCACACTCTTTACACTTGTATGGCTTCTCCCCAGTGTGTGTTATCATATGTCTGCGGAATGTTGAGGAATAGCTGAAGGATTTCCCACACTCTGTGCATTTATGTGGGTTCTTTCCAGTGTGACTTCTCAGGTGGCTGCTCAGACTTGAAAAGTCAATGAAGGCTTTCCCACAGTGCTGGCATTCGTAGTTTTTTTCCGCAGTATGAGCCCTTACATGCCGATTGAGGGAAGAAGTCCGAGGAAGGTTTTCTCACATAATTCACATGCATAAGGTCTCTCTCTGCTATGGGCTCTCAGGTGTGCTCTCAAATGGGAATGACAACTATAGGCCTGTCCACATTCCTGACACTGGTATGGCTTGTGTCCAGTGTGAACTGTAATGTGTCCCTTGAGGAACAAATATTGTGTGATTATTTTTCTATACTGTTTTGGCCCAGTAGTGATTATTTTGTATTGGTTAAAATTTGGAATCTGTCTGAAGGCTTCTCTGCATTGGCCATTACTTCCACAGAATCTCTCCACTGTTTCATTTCTATAAAAGATAAAGTGCATTTAATTAATGGTTTGATTAAAAAGGATTTATTAATAACTATTAAACTTCACAATTATTAAAATTACTTTTTAATCATTTTCAATAAAAGGGCAGATTTTCTACCCCAACTGAATTATATGGAATAAAATGAATGTTTCAGTCCATTCACACAGAGGAACCCCCAGATAAGTTTGGTCACTGCCATTATTAAAACATTACCTTTTATATAAGTTGTTTCATTTTATTTTTATTTATTTTCAATCTTTATTTCTTTGTCAGTACTAGAATAGAATCCAGGTCACTGTACATGTGGTAACAGCAAGGAGCCACACACAGGCTGTGGCCACAGAAATTTGAGGCCACACAGAACCACATAATGATTTTTAAAAGATGAAAGTAAGTTTATTATAAAAGTACAAAGCTGGGTGTGGTGGCACACGCCTGTAATCCCAGCACTCAGGAGGCTGAGGCAGGAGCATTGTTGTGAGTTCAAGGCCAGCTTGGGCTACACAGTGAGCTCAAGGCCAGCCTGAACTGCATAGCGAGACCCTGTCTTAAAAAGACAAAAAAAACAAAGAAAAAGACAAAAATATTATAAAAGTACAGCAGATATGAACATAGTCAAATAATATACTACCACAGTATGAGGAAGGGGACATCATTAAAGATGAAGGATTTTGTAGGAGATGGAGCCTTGATAGACGTACTTGCACTGTATCCAGTTTGTTAGTTTCGTAAGTGCGGTGTTCAGACAAAAGTGACTTGGTGCCAATAGGCCTGCATGGCTATAAGAGATCATTCCCAGCGTTGGCTTGGGATAGCACACTTGGCTTGATAGCACACTCAAGGCTACCTCTAAACAACATTTTCTTCCCAAGGGAAATAGTTTTTCCTGTGAGCAATGGCATGCAGCCGATTTCACTCAGGAAACAACTATATTTAGCTGATTCTCATTTTGACCCTTTTCCTGACAATATGCTAGGTAGGTGCTCTGCCACTAAGCTCCATCTTTAAAACCCTTTTCTAAATTTTATTTTGGAACAGCGTCTCACTAAATTGCCCACACTGATCTTGAACTTGCAGTCCTCCTACCCAGCCTCCCAAGTAGCTGAGATCACAGGCAAATACTACTGTACATGGTGGAGTTTCTTGTTTCCAATTCAATTGCATTTCTAACACTCCATGTCTAAGTTACATTTAAAGAGATACTTTTTGTAAAAATTCTGTCAATAGCAGGTATAATAGTGTACATCTACACTCCCAGCTACTTGGGAGGTTGAGACAGGGGAATTCCAACTTCAGGGCCACCATGGACAACTTGCTGACACTCTGACTCAAAATAAAATTTTAAAAAGGGCGGTAGCTCGGTGGTACAACAATTACCTAGTATGTGGACCCCTGGGTTTAATCATCAGTACCATTTTTAAAAATTATTACAGAAATTCACAGCTAAGATTATTTTGTTTGCTGGCTATTTCAATTTCATGACAGTCTAAGATTCTCTGCTAGAAAGAATTTTCTTTTGTTGAATGTGACCTACCTTGGGTTTCCCCCTGGCTTGTGCGCTGATCTTCAAAGGTAAAATCTTCCAAATTTTTCCTAAAACAGAGGCCTAAGAATCATTTTTGGTGAATTTTGCTGTTTCTTTCTTTTTTTTTGGTCTTTTTGAGACAGGGTCTCGCTATGCAGTTCAGGCTGGCCTTGAGCTCACTTTGTAGCCCAGGCTGGCCTTGAACTTGCAAAGATCCTCCTGCCTCAGCCTCCAGAGTTCTGGGATTACAGGCGTGCGCCAACACATCTGGCTCTATTTCTGGTTTCTTAGGTATTTATTCTGCATAAGTATTTGGCTGAGAAACTGAATCACTGGCTTTAAATTGACATTCATCATCTGAAATCAAAAAGTGAACACATCTTAAGAGAAAGAACCTCCTGTTAGTGAAAAATAAAAATAGAAAAGGACACAGGAGTTTCACCATTTCAGGACTTGATCAAACAGCAGGGGTCAAAGTGGAGAGCCGTTTCACCAGTACATTAAAATCTCACTGGGTTACAAAAACAGACTTCAGTGGGCCCATGAAATTTTTATCTACAAGGATGTCACCAAGGAGCTTTCCTTGCAGAAAGGAAAAACTCAGTTTAATAGATTTTCATTCTCATGAGACAAACCTTCGGATTCTAGCTCCATGGCTACAGTGACCAGGTTTGGCTTCTTTATCCATATATTCCCTCTCCACATTCCATGTCTCAGAAGAGGCTACATGTGTAAGAGATACTTTCTGTCTCAATGACCAAGTGAAGAAAGGATGTCACCCTCACCAATGGAGGCCAGGTCCCGGAAGGTCTTCAGCATCACATCTCTGTAGAGATCCCTCTGCACAGAATCCAGCAAAGCCCACTCCTCCTGGGTGAAGTGCACAGCCACACCCTCAATGACCACTGAGTCCTAGAACAGCCAACGTATGTGCAAGAGGAAGGTTGAGTTTGACCTATTGGCCCACCATACTTGATTGACATTCAGTTCAAACAGGATCTCAGGGTCTCCCAACAGGCAATTTTTGACTCAGTCATCAGACTTCTTTCTGTGTATATGTGAATCCTCGTGGATTAAATAGCTGATGCACTAAACACATCTCTACATTTTTACTGGGACCGTTTCAAGGCATATTTCTCTTGACTGAAAGAGTTCAGACTACATCAGGGATGCCAGAGAAATAGTATACAGGTGAACCCAACATCTGTACATAAATACTATGTGTGCGTTACTTTTTTGTTTATTTGAAACAGGGTCTTGCTCTGTAGTTCAGGCTGGCTTGAGCTCACTATGTAGCTCAGGTTGGCCTTCAACTCTCGGCGATCCTCCTGCCTCAGCCTCCCGAGGCAGCTGGGATTACAGTCGTGTACCACTATGCCCAACTGAGTTACTTTCTCATCCCTGGCACGCGATACCCAACATCCAACTAAGGAAGAGAGGTATACTTTGCCTCATGTTATAGTTCACGGGCTGCTGGCTCTGAGGCAGAATGGCATGATGTGAGGACGTGAGCAGAGGAAAGCTGCTCATGTCCTGGGGCCCGGGAGGCAGACAAGGGAGGAGCCAGGAAAGGACGCAAACACTTCTGGGTTAGGGCCACCTCCTAACAGTACACACAGCCGCTCAACTCAGCAGTGGCTGAATCCCCCATTGAGCAGCTCGCCCCCTGGGTCCAACCACCCTCCTGGGCTGTGGTTTAGAGCTGGAATGCCTCCCCACGCCTCACTGTTCAGAGGTGGGTCCTGGTCAGAGGTGGATCCCTGGGGCACGGCTTGGAGCCCGCTGACCATAGACTGAGGCACTGAGCCCAAATAAACCTGCCTTCCTCGGAACTGTAGGTGTTGGGCATTTGTCCTAGTGACAGCAAAGTGTCTACCACCCCAACAGTGTCTTACGACAAACTACTCCAGCGCCTTTCTTAATCCACACCACACCCCTCAACACCACAGGCACCAAAGGGCAAGTCCTGGAGGACTTTGTTGTCACTGCTACTTTGTTGCAGTACCGGGGATGGGACCCAGACACTGAGCCAAGTCCTCAAGGCTTTTTATTTTTATACAGGATCCTTCTAAATTGCCCAGCCTGGCCTTGAACCTGCAATCCTCCTGTCTCATCCTCCGGAGCAGTTGGAATTATAGCCATGTGCCACTACGGCTGGCTCTGGAAGGACAAAAACGTACCCAAAGCCTGGGAACTTTCTTTCCCATTCTGTTTACCAAACGTGAGACCAAAAGGTCCTGTGTCAAAAGGGGTTAGAAGAGGGGGTTATGTCCACACCAACTCCCCATGAGGAATGCAATCATTATGTACTGCAAATATGCACTAAAGAAATAAACATTTTAAAAGTTCAGAGCCAGGGGCAGTAATCTCAGCCCTTGGGAGACTACGGCAGAAGGAGCAACCTGCGTTCAAGGCAGCCTGAACTACAGAGCGAGATCCTGTCTCCAACAACAAAAGCAAAAAAAGTTGGAAGAGAAAAACAATCACAGCTCCAGGCCCAGGTGCTCGCTGAAGGTGCTGGCCGCTTTGACCCATGCTGGCTGAGTGAGAGAAGAAAATAAAAGGTGTAGCCTGCGTGATTCCTTTGATTGTTATTCTCTCCTCTAGGGAGGAGGAGAGAGGGGCCCATATTCCCAAAAGTGAGCTTTGGGTGAGAAAGAAAAGCTTAAAGTTTGTATGCTATGGAGAGGAGGGAAATGTTAATTAGTTCATAGGGATCAAGAAGACTTCTATAGGGGCTGGGGATTTAGCTCAGTGGCAAAGCGCCTGCCTGGCAAGCACAAGGTTGTGAGTTCGGTTCCCGGTACCAGAGAAAAACCAAAAAAAAAAAAAAAAAAAAAAAAAAAAAAGAGGAAGACTTCTATATAAGGCAAAGGAGAAAGTACAAAGGGCATTCTAGCCTTTGAACAGCCTGTTGCTGTGGCCATCAGAGGCACCTGACCAGTCAAAATCTTCCCTGGTTGCTGCAACATAACCTTGGCAAACGCAAACTCACTACCATGGCTCTGTCCTTCAGAAAGATATAAGGAGTGACCAAAATGTAGTGTGTCCTTACATTTTAAAAATGTATTGCAGGGCTGGGGATATAGCTCAGTGGCATAAGCGCCTGCTTGGCAAGCACAAGGTCCTGAGTTTGATTCCCAGTACCAAAAAAAAAAAATGTATTACAGTAAGTTGGCCGTGGTAGTGTACACCTGTCATCCCAGCACTCAGGAGGCTGAGGCAGGAGGATTGAGGTGAGTTTGAAGCCACCCTGGGCTACAAAGTGAGCTCAAGTCCAGCCTGAACTGCATAGCGAGACCCTGTCTCAAAAAGACAAAAAAAGAAAAGATCATGAAAAATAAGTTCTGAATCCATTCAGGAGAAGACAGGCACGACAGTGCAAATGAAGACACTCAGGAAATGGGACTTCCAGACCTGCTGCAGAAAGCGGCAAGAAAAAAAACAAAGTGGCAAGAACAATGCAGTAAGTGTGTTGGAAGTGAGGGGGAGGATTTTGAGGGGGATTGATGGCAATGTGGCTTTTACTGTAACACATTTTTAAAAAAATTTGAAACTCACCATAGTTTTCAATCACACCATAGTTTTCAATCACACCTCAAATCTCACCATAGTTTTCAATCACACCTCAAATCTCCATGTCTAAACCCCGGTACCTGGAAATGTGTCCTCATTTATTACTGAGCTTTTGCAGCTCTAATGAAACCAAGATCAGGTCTTTGGATGGGCCCCAATCTAACATGACTGGCATCCTTATAAGAGCAAGAAAATGCCACATAGACAGAGACACAATGGGAAGGTAGCTATGTGATGAAGGGGTGGAGATGGGGATTATGTTGCCACAAGGAAAGGGACATCTACGGGCACCAGAAGCTCTCAGAGCTGAATAATCACACTGCATCTGCTGGATGTGGTGGCACACATCTGTAAACTCAGCACTTGGGAGGCTGAGGCAGGACAACTGCTGTGAGTTCAAGGCCAGCCTGGGCTACATAGGAAGAACTTGTCAAAAGAAACACAAAGAACACAACCTAAAAATATTTCACCTGCATGTCTGATAAGCATGGGGAAAAAATGGTACATTCTTGTAATTTTATAAATGCCACAGAGATAATACCAATCCATTACAAGAAAAGAAGGGAAGGGGCTTTAGTGAGACATAACCCCTTGCTTCTGGCCATTGGTGCATGAGTCGGAATTCAAACTCTAAGTCCTGTAATAGAAACAAGATTAGGTTTCTGTACCTGACTTACCCATTGGAGGCTCAGCAAAGAGCAAAACAAGCAAAAATAGAGGTGGTCTTTAAATGGAAATATACTTCTGGAAATTTAAGTAGCAGTTTTTATTTTGGTAAAATAATGTAATAAATTTTAAAAATTTATTTGGGGGTTTGAGACAGAGTCTCCTTATGTAGTTGAGCCTGGCAATGACCTCACTATGTAACCCACACCGGCCTCAGATTTGTGGTGATCCTCCTGCCTCAGCCTCCCGAGTGCTGGAATTCCAGATGTGTACCACCCTGCCTGGCTTAAAACACACTTCTGTAAGGCCCTGAATGATGAGACAACTGTGGCCATGGGTTTCCACGGTGAATGGTTTGCTTGCATTCTGGTGGAGCCACCTGGAGGAAGGTGCTCTAGTCACCTCCTCCGGAAGGAACTCTCCACCACCTCAGCCCCAATTCCGGAACAGTCTATGTAGAGTTCATCCACACTGGCAAGGTATACAAAGTGGTATCCAATGACAACCTATCTGAGGCCGATCCCTCAGGAACCACTCTGACCCGAGGACTCAACACCATGACTTGGTCTACACTGAGCACCCCAGGGTGGGGGGCTCACAGGGAGGCCACATAGGGGCCCTGGTGACCCAACTGCAGGGCCAGGGTGTGTCCTGCCCAGTGCCTACGTTGTCCTCGATGGCTGGGCTCCCTCTATACAAGGCTGATTATCCTGACACTGCCTTGTCCCTAGAAGATGTTCAGATCAGCCCCGACCCACTGTTACCTCTGTCCAAATAACGATATGGTTGGGGGATAATAGCACAGGACCTCCAGAAGCCAGCAGGCTTCCAAACCCTTACAGGGAATGAGATTCACTTTGTTTATTTTTTAATATAGGGCTCACTAAGTTCTCCAGACTGGGCTTGAACTTGTGATCCTCCTGCCTCAGCCTCACACAGTACTGGGATGACACGTACATACATTACGGTGCCTGCTTGGGATTTACTGTAATTGGTTAAGTCCAGAAGTCCTACAGAACCAAAATCAACTCTGCAGTTTGGCTCTAGCCCACTTTACAGGATTTACGGATAATAATTTGGCTGTAAAGATGCCCATCCAGGGCCTACGGGTGGACTGTGCAGGACATAGTTACCCAGCAGGCTTGAGAGCCCACGTGACCCTTGGCGAGCATGTGGGAACCTGGATTCGGGAGGGTTCCCGATGCTCTCGCAGCAGCTGCTCGCCGTGACTGTTGCGGGAAACCTCTTGCTCTGTGCTGCTTCCTGGGAGACCTTGCACATGCTGGGCCGGATGTCTATGTGACCAGCTCCTGAGTCACCACTGAGCTTCCCCAGTTGTCCTCACCCCCGCCAATGGCACCCAGGCCCTTGCACTTGCTCGGCAAGCACTCACCACTGAGCTTCGCCGGACCTATTTAGTTTCTATTTTGACAGGGTCTCATTAAGTGAATCTACGTACATCCCGTGTAACTCTGCTGCACAAGGACCCTGGGAACCTTGGGCTCAGTCTCCCCCTACAGGCTTCACCTCATGCATCTTTGCTCTAAGGATTTGCTCTGTGTCTCTGCACTGTGACCCATCCCCGACACATCCTGTGAGCCCTCCCAGTGACTCATCAAAATCAGGGGTG